GAAGGCCCGGGACGCCAAAAAAACACTCTGTCGGGGCACCGAAGTACGCCCGAATTCGGCTCAGTTAAAGACTATAGATAAAGGTAAACATAGAGGACTTTTAGGAACTTGCTTCTAAACTGTTATTGATTTAAAAAAAAATATTTGTTTTCATCTGATGGAAACTTTGAAACCTTGAAGCTTTAAAACATGAACATAGCTCTTAAAAGAAATTTTATCTTCAATTTTGCCTTTACAATAGAGAACGTAGTAAAACTTTACACTGGTAAATGTACTGTTAAAACGTCTGCTTAAAAAATGGTACGCACTATGGTGAGGTAAAAAAAATTCCCTTCGTGCGCAAAAAAATGAGACAAAAACAAATTCCCAAAAAAACCCCACAAAAAATAACCTGCGGGAATACCCATTCCCTAACAAAGATGTCTTTTGTTACTTTACCTGTCTTTGATTAAAAATAATAAGAAGAAAACAGTACGTTGATGGAATAAATAAAAGGCAGCATTAAAATACCAACAACATTGCACTTGATCAATCCCCGCTAATTATGTAATTATTTTTTTCCAACACCATATATATCTTCTTGTAGTTTGGTGCAGGGGTGTATAAAATAGTTTTATGGTGTGACTGACAAAAATGAATTCCCCTTCGTGCGCAAAAAAGGACAGACAAAATGAATGCCCCCCCCCCCCCCCCAAAAAAAGACACAAATAATAACCTGCGGGAATTCCCGTTCCCGAAAAAAAGATGTCTTTTGTTACCTCACATGTCTTTGATTTAAACTAATAATAACAAAACAGTACGTTTAGTGTATGGAATAAATAAAAGGCAGTATTAAAAATACCAACAACCATGCACTTAATCAATCCTCGCTAATTATGTAATTTTTTTCCCAACAACGAAACAAAGTAATAAAAGTAAATTCTTTTCCCCTCGATGTTGTTTTTTTTAAAGGGAAGTTACTGTGTTTTCTAATCAAGGGACTTAATGAGCGCTAAAGGACTAAATTTTAATGCAAATACTTTTCAGAGACAATTAGACATTTTATAAACGTTGTTATATTTGTTTTTAAAATTTTATGTAATATTTATATTGAAAATTATTATTTTAAGTAAGCAAAATGAAAATTGTTTTAAAACACTGTCAATATTAATTTTTTAACTTATTAATTTTGATCATGAGCACTTTAGAAATCTAACACTCGAAACCATGGAAGTATCGTTTTTTCTTATATCCCTTTGTAATCTACGACAAACATTTTACAAACATACATACAGAATTGAACTATATATATTACTGAAATATATTAGACTAGCCGTCCCGGACAGGCCCTGCTCTGGCCTCTGTAAAAAAAAAGGTATCTGTAAAGGGGCATAACTTATGTGTTTAGTAATCAGCATTTACCCGGCATTGCCCACCCTAACCACAACCAACCAAAACACACAAAAAACGCAAACATAACACTAACACAAAACAAACAAAAACGAAAACACAAAAACAAACGCAAAGACAAACCCAACCACAAACACAAACAAAACACAAACACTAACGCAAAAAAAAAATCCAAACACAAACCCAACCACAAACCCAACCACAACCAAACGAAACAAAAACACACAAAAAAAAAACAACGCAAACATAACACAAATACAAACACAAACGAAAACACAAAAACAAAGGCAAACACAAACACAACCACAAACACAAAGAAAACACAAACGCAAAGAAAAAAGCAAACGAAAACACAAACGCAAAGAAAAAAATCAAACGAAAACAAACCCAAACCCAAACCCAAACCCAAATCTAAACGCAAACACAACCACAAACGCAAACCCAAACTCAAACACAAAGAAAACACAAACGCAAATATAAACTCAAAGTGTCCACAGTCTAGCCCGGGGCGTCAAATCGCACCATGACGACGTGCGGCGTAACAGCCCGATTCAACTTAGTAAACGACTATAGTACCCAACTTATTCATAGTCTTTTGAACTCACTTCCGCGAACGTAAGTACCATAGCGAACAAGGGAAGGCCCGGGGCGCCAAATCGCACCCTGTCGGGGTGCCGGGGGACGCCGGGATTTGATTCACTTAAAGACTATAGTAACCTTTCTTATTCATAGTCTATTGCACTGTTTAAAACGAAATTATTAACTGTTATTGATTTAAAAAAAATAATTAGTAAACAGTACGTTCAGTGTATGGAATAAATAAAAGGCAGTATTAAAAATACCAACGACACAAAAACCAAGTAATAAAAAGTAAATTCTTTCTCTCCCCATTTATGGGTTTTTAAAAGGGAAGTAACTGTGTTTTCCAAATTAAGGGACGTTATGAGAACTAAAGGACAAAATGCAAATACATTTCAGACACAATTTTAGAAATTTTATAAACTTGATATACTTTTAAAATTTTTTATGTAATGTTCATAATTGAAAATTTTTATTCTAAGTAGGCCTATATAAAATGAAAATAGTTTTTTAAGAATTTCAATAGTAATTTTTTAACTCATAAATTTAGACCATGAGCACTATAATAATCTAACACTTAAATTCATCTAATTATGGACTTTTTAGTTTTTTCTTATATTCCTTTGTAATCCACGACAAATATTTTACATACAAACATACAGAATTGAACTTTATATATTAGACTATCCGTCTCGGCCAGGCCCTCCACTGGCCTCTGTGAGAAACTATCTGTAAAGGAACATGACTTGTGTGTTTAGTAATCAGCATATAACCGGCATTGCCCACCCTAACCACAACCAACCGAAACCAACAAACAAAACACAAATACCAACACAAACACAAACGAAAAAAAAGCAAACGCAAACACAAACACAAACACAAACACAAAGAAAACACAAACACAAACGCAAACAAAAAAGCAAACGAAAACAGACCCAAATCCAAACGCAAACACATTTTCGTGAAAGGTGATAAATTTATTTAAATTTTATATGATGGACATGCCGAAAATTATAACTTTAAGTTTGAAAATTGAAAATTATTTTACAGCATTTTCACAATTAATTATTTAAATCATCATTTAGACGATGAGCACTTTATATGCATCGCTACCTCGGTTTCAAACAAACATACAGAATTGAACGTTATATATTAGATTTAAGGACTAAAATAGTTTAATAAGGAACCTCAATTATTTATTGTGTTTTTAATTTCTCGTATATGAAGTACAGAGGAAGTATTGTAGTCGTGCAGAAATTTTACAAATGATTTTGAAATATCCGTTTAAGATATGTTCTCTCTTTCAGCATGCCCGCCTATGACATACGGCAGCAATTGCGCACGAACATGCAACTGTGACTCTACTCACACGACACAGTGTGACAAGGTGACTGGACAATGCATTTGCGCGACAGGATGGTCAGGGGCTACGTGTGGTCAAGACGTAGACGAATGCCAGTTGAGTCAGTACACTAGAACATGCAGCTCATCCAACAACCAGATCTGTGTCAACACGCCAGGCAGTTACCGGTGTGAATGTATCAATGGTTTTGCCAGTAAAACAGTTGGAGGTCCGTGTGAGAAAATAGGTGTGAAACATTTTTTTTTCTTGATTTCTTCTTCTCACACGTCCAGATAAATATCAGGAATACAATTTTGTTTTAATAAAAATTTGAGTTTTAGAATACTATTTTTTAACCGAAAAGAACACGTTAGTAAATTCCCATTACAGCAGGGTATTGCAGTAGATACCTAGGAAAATTACTTGTAATAGTTAAAACTGTAATTAATCATATATGTTGATTTGTTTCATTCATCTCTAATGTTCAATTCTACACACTTATACGAAAAACAATTATAAAAACATTCATAATTTTAAAAAAGCGTTTAAATGCATTGGAAGTAACAAAAAATACTAATTTTGCTTTTTTGTTTAATACTAGCCTTGGATACCTAACAGATAACTTACAAATTTTAGCGACCAATTTCCGCCCCTTTTATTCCTGAATGTAGTTAATTTCAAATAATAGTTTAATGACTAACTGATTGCCTTATTAGATTTAAAAGAAAATGAATACTATTGCATTTTATTCGGATTACGATTGTATCTGGAAAATTTAAACTCTTTAATAAGAAGTGGGTCAAAATCAGGTTACAAATATATCCATGTCACAAACTGAATTTGAGAACTACATTAAAAGCTTATTAAAAACTTATTTAGATATATGTAATGTTATAATTTATAGTAATATGGATTTGTATTTTTATGTTTACAATAATATAGGCTGTGATAACGTTATAAGCGTGTCGCCAACTAGTATACAATCTCCAAATTATCCGAACCTCTACTGGCAAAATGCTGCGTGTTCTTGGTCTATACAAGCAAACACGGTTTCTACTGTAGCGATTAGGTGAGTTTGATCCAGACTCTTTAAAAACATGCTGCAGTTTTCAAAAAGTCATACTAGAGAGTACAAATGCGACGGTGTTTGTTATAAACATTTTAAATATTACTTCTTTGAAGTAGTTAAAACCTAATCAGTATTGTTTTGCAGTTTTTCAGCCTTTGCAACAGAGGATCGGTACGACTACGTTTACCTGTATGATGGTCCTAACGCCAATTCTCAACTGCTTGCTAAGTTTAGTGGAACTAGGTCATTCAGTGAACCCATACGGTCAACAGGAAGTAGCATGTTTATTAGATTTACTTCGGATTCATCCGTTCAAATGAGTGGTTTTAGTGCCATCTACACTCAAAGCAGTTAGTAGAATATAATATACACTCAGTTTTTAATATGAATGTTTTTTTTTGCACACAAGAAAAACGAAAAAAAAAATCACATTTTTACTAGCCGTGAATAATACTATATAGTTAGCAATATAGATTTTTTGCCCTTATAAGTTTACTAATAAGGCAATTGAATAATAATGTCCATTAAAATTTCAGACTACCCACAAGGTTGTAGTAACATTATAGCCCCTCAAGAGCTCATTCAGACAACCATTGGCACAAGCATGACAAGAGGAAACCCGTCGACAGTCAAGCAGATCTTCTGCTACTGGTCAATTAGCACATCAAGTGGCAACATTTTATCTATAAAGTAAATATTAAAATGTTTCATTATTGTGTAGCTTAAACGTAATAATGTGTTCAACCACAATTGACGTCATACAACAAGAATTTGAAGGGAGTGATGGTTAGCTTGGAGAGGACGATGATGTACAAACTTGCTTGAATATTTGTGAGAACAATTTGTAAACTAAAGCCTAGCTATATGTTAGTAATTTTAATGACTTTTTGTACATTGTAAATTGACATACTAGATGTACTTATCTGCACCTGGATACGCTAAAACTTTAGTTTAATTAATGACTAGGCGGTACCCATATTATTTCCTGAATTGTTGATAAAGAGAATTAACTTAATATTTCAGATAGATTGCTTTTCAAAACAAATGTTTGTTGTATGGGTACAAATACGCTTGCCTCCATATTTGAGATATAAATTAGGAAACACAATAAAAACTTATATATATATATATATATATATATATATATATATATATACATATTAAGAATTTTACTTTCTCGAACACAGAGCATATAATAAGTAATCAAATGCGATTTTTACAGATTTTACCGTTTTTAACCTCAGTACTTCATCGTATACGGAATATAATCGAGCTACAAATCTATCGAGATTTTTATAAATCTCGATGTTTCACACCTTGCAGAGTCGGAAATTTTGTGTTTGCAATCTTGTCAGTCTATGTCTGTGTGTGTATGCTAATATTCGGAAGTGGTACTTATCTTTGGTTTCTAAACTACTAAGAATTTGTGAACCGTGAAAGTTCGGTAAACGAAATTCTATACATTGCTAAAAGTTCTCATTCACTGGCTTCTGTTATATTTTGATTGATTTCCGGTGAGCTGAAATAGTAGCTTAAGCTATTTCCAATCCCTAAAAAAATCCCTAAAAACATTAACAATTTATTTCACTAGATTCCTCTGTTTATCGTCCGTCATGGTCGAACACTATAGCAAGCAAACATTAAACTATGTCCACCGGACTGATTTCTTTCAAACATTTCACGTCGGTCAATACTAGACAACAAAGTATTGTTGCATTAAATGTGATTTACTTAGATGTTCAATTTGTTTAAAAAAAATAAATCATAGTTTCCATGATAAGTATTAATTTTCTGCTAATGTATACATACACTGTTTGCGCTCATTTTAAGCGCATTTTTTTTTCTTCGCAGTACTTCTCTAATTAGTTAAATTTTAATGTAAAAATATAATTAAAAACTTTTATAAAATGTATTTTTTTCTAAATATTTTCATAATGGTAAAATAAAAAAAAATACCAAAATGTTAAATTTTGTAACAAAAATCGATAATGATTTTTAAAAATTTTCTTTTTTACCTCATTTTTATACAGTTTCGTTTCGATATCAACTGACGTCTCCTGCAAATCATTTGTTGCCGTTTATCAAAGAACACAAACTGGAGACACTTTGTTTGGAAAATACTGTGGCACTCAAAATCCAGGAGTGATACGCATTCTCGGACCAAATGCTTACATAGTTTATCAATCAGAAGAAGATATACCAAGAAATGGCTTCCTTGCAAGAGTAAACTGTAATAATAATTATTATAATAATTATAATAATAGTAATAACTTCATATAGATATTGATCTTATTACATATATATATATATATATATATATATATATATATATATATATATATATATATATATATATATATATATAATCAACTCCCCAAAGTATGATTGCTATCGGATTAACGGTGTAAAGCCGTAATCGCCTTTTATTTTTATATACCGTATATAGAAGAAAAAAAATCTCGCCCTACCGGGAGGTTTTTGCAGATCCCTTCCAAGGAATATTCTCAACAACTTCCCAATGTTTAACTGTGATGTGATGAGAGGTGTAGTAATGCTTAAAAGACAGACACACACACAGACATACATTGCTTATATATATATATATATATATATATATATATATATATATATATATATATATATATAATAGGCTCGGTCGGTGGTCGGTAGTCTGTCAATGCATGTTTACTTATGTCTTTTGTTTTTATGTATTCTTATTTATTGATTTTTATATTATCCACCTGAAAAGGTTTTGATTTTGTCAAATGTATTCAAGATTAAGAATTGAAAACTGTCTACATACACGATCAACATTTCTTACAGATTGTCGTCCTTTTTACTACGGCTCTGAATTATGCACTAATCCGTGCACCTGTGTACAGGCGAATTCCTTATCCTGTAACAGCCTTACTGGAGCGTGCACCTGCAAATCTGGCTGGACATCTGTGGACTGTTCTATTGATATTAATGAATGTCTTCAAACTCCTTGTTCTCTAACTCAAAAATGTATCAATACTCCAGGAAGTTACTCCTGTCAAGCGGGTACAATAAAACCGTCTTAAATAATTAATTAGCTTTTTGTAATGCGGGCTTAAAATGGCTCCAAATAGAGTTAGAATAATAATTACTTTTTTAGGAAATTAACCGATTTATCAATATTTCAATTGTTTTAAGGATATTTTATGAAATAAGTGGGGATATTAAAATATTCACATTTGTGGCTTATTAAAATTGAGGCATACAATTAGGCCAGGGGCGGAACTACAGTGCCGCCAGACCCCGCAATGCGGGGGGGGGGGGGGCCACGCCATTTAGAGGCCCACAGCCGACCATAATAATTATTTTATAGTTAAAAAAAAATCTTGTATTTTTGACTTGATGGTTGTTTTGTAAAAAAGATTACCATAGCTGCGGTTGGTTTATCTTTATTATATAGACACCACCCAACGCTCTTGTATATTTTCCCCTTTGTTTTTAAACCACTGTGAAAGCCGAGTCCTCTTTCCCCCAAAATAAAACTTATCTAAGATAAGCAAACGTTCAAACCACCTCCGTGAATTATTTCCCTTTTTTAAATAATCAAATTAGGGTGCTCATAAGCTCATTTTAATAGATTTGTACTAAACAAATTAAAAAGCGATTACTTCTCTTAATTCTTTTTTTTTATAAAGTACTTACTAAACAATGACATTGTATAAAAAGGAAATGTATTTAAAATTAATAATATAAATACAAAAAAACATAAAAAAAACATAACATGAGACACCATTACTTATATACAAAGCTTTCATGATTTATATTCTTTTGACCAACTGCAGGTTAAGGTGACTTATAGAAGAGATAAAAATAAAGCGGATTTTCACAAAACGCACTTATACATTTACACACGTCACGTGACAGGATGTTTTAATTTGTTATAATTGAAAAAAAACAATTTTTTATTAAAAACCCGAACAGGCCAATATATATATATATATATATATATATATATATATATATATATATATATATATATATATATATACATATATATATATATATATATATATATATATATATATATATATATATATATATATATATATATATATATATATATATATTTATTTATTTATATATATATATATATATATATAAATATATGGGGGGGGGGGGGGCTAAAAAATAATTTTTTGCGGGGTGGCCCTTTTTTTCTTGTTCCGCCACTGAATTAGGCTAGCTTATATATATATATATATATATATATATATATATATATATATATATATATATATATATATATATATATATATATATATATATATATATATATAGGCATACATAATATACAATTATATAATTTTTGCAAGATTGTAACAAAGACCTGAACGGACCTTTCGAACAGATAAATACTGTTCAGTATCCGACCTATAGACTTGATTCTGCTGAATGCAACTGGGCTATTAATGGCAGGGCTAATGAAGTTGTTACCTTGAGGTATGTAAATGGTTTTATTTTACTATCTGTTTCCTTGCTGTATGATTTTTACTGTCTAAAGCGTAAAAAAATGGCACATGAAGAATAATTAATAGTTTAAAATTATGTTTCAAATTAATATTTTAGTACTAATATTTTCTTTTATCTCCCTATTATGGCTCTTCTCTCTCAAATATTACCTACGCTATGCTTGAAGTGTTTTATTTCTTTTTGACATGCTAAATTATCATTAAATACGTATAATAAACATCTTTCTACTTGTTCTTGAAGATAAGTTACTATGTCGATAATCAACTCATACGGAAAACTGGATTTTTGTTTTTAGAATCAGAGAAGGAGATTTCTTTCTGGTTGAATCCGCGTATTGCAACAGTGGAGATTCACTTGACATTTTCAACGGAGAGGTTTCCGCGGCCAATCAAATTGGAAAATATTGTGGCAAAAGAATTCCTGGCCTTATCAGATCAACAAAGTCCAAGATGAGTTTACAACTCAGGACTTCATATTATGGTATCCGGCAGGGATTCACTGGGTTTTATTATACTCACGGTATGAATAAATTATGTAAATATTATGAATTCAGGCTAATGCTACCTGAAAAAATAAAAAAAAATCTCTCCTTTCAGCCACATATCTCCCTTTTATATATATATATATATATATATATATATATATATATATATATATATATATATATATATATATATATATATATATAGTTTAATGTAGTAATATTTTATATTGTTAAAATAGGTTTAAAATGCAATTTTAATTGCTTTCTGGGTTGCTTTTTTTTAATTTACAGTGTGTAATGCTTTCACATATGGCACTACATGTGATAGAAGATGTACTTGTCAACCCAGCACCACCAAATTTTGTGACAACCTCAGTGGTGTTTGTGTGTGTAACCCTGGATGGACAGGAACAAACTGCGACGAAGACGTTGACGAATGCCGAGCTAATAAATGTTTGGAGAACCAAGTCTGTGCAAATACTCCAGGCAGTTTTCAATGTTCTTGCCGCCTTGGTTTTATAGTAAATTCAGCAGGGACTTGTGAAGGTAGGTAACAAGCTAAATACATGTGTTTTATTTGCAGGAGTTAGTTGTCAATATAAAAATAAATTAACACTCCGCCCGACAATACACTACTTTTTCTTTCAACACATCTAATTGAAACACATTGCAGTATTATTTGCAGCTTTATTATGTAAAATTTAAAAAATATAATTTAAACAATCATAGAGTTTGCAGTTAAAACAAATAATAATACAACACTTTCCCAATCTCCATGTTTATATTGTTGTAATAAACGTAAAGTATTTATGTTTATTTAGGGAATACTGAAAATTGCGTTCTTTCGTCTGGAAAAAAATGCTCACATTATTGCACGAAGGGGAATAACATACAATGTGTTTGTCCAGATGGAATGGAGATTACTGGAAAATACTCGGAACAATGTGCTAGTGAGTTGACCTAATAAAACTACTTGTGCTGCTTAATATGGATAGATTATTATATATTTTCCCTTCTATTTTTGAATCGGTTCCTAATACACAAGGTATTCAGTTTTCAACATTGCATTGTGAAAAAAAAATTCTTGCTCTGGTTGTTTTTGAAGATTTTTATCAGCTAGAATAATAGTTCCACAGCTTATAATACTTCTACAAAAATATTTCTATTTTCAATTTAATTTATTTTTTCTGTAAGATGCATTCTAGGTATTTTGATTGAAACCATCAACAACTTTAATATGTAACGTATTACAAATATGTAATTAAGAGTTTAAAGTGAAATGGCTAAACATTTCCTAGCCATTAGGCACACTTATAATTATATTTTAATATTTTCAAGAAACATTCTTTTACTTTTGCTTGATTATTAAAGTTTCAAATGTATATTAACAGTAACCAATCTCGAATATGTATTTTGTTTTGTAAACTCTAACACGAATAAATATATAGATGATGTGTAGTATAAATTTTGACTAAAAGTATTTTAATTAGATGCATTAAATTAAGAAATAATTGAAAATCAAAATATTCCTTATATAAACTCGAAGCTGATTGACGGTTTTAAAACATTGCATATTTTTTAATCAAAATGTTAATTCTTAAAAATGATTAAGTTAAGCTTTTCGTTAAAAAAGTCATGTCTTTTCAAATTCAAGAATTGTTTGTATATCATAAGATTTAACAAATATAATGATTTATAAGCAATTATCGTTTATTAAAATGTATTTCCAGTTTCATTATATCCTTATGGTGCAACATATGGAGATGTCTCAAAAACTAATAACGTTATAGACAAAACGTCTGTGGAAGTAAAGTTCAGTACTGAGGTTCCATTTGGTGACATTACAGTGAGCACAGCATATGTAAGTCAACAATTTAGTAGGAAAAACGATGTACAAAAAAGCACAGCTGTTAAATGTTAGATATAGAAGAAAAAATTGAGTAATAGTGTATGTTTCTCTCAGTAGAAAAGTGGGATATTTTAATGCAGGCAATTTTTTTTTATCTTAATAAAATAATGCAATTATATCTATATATATATATATATATATATATATATATATATATATATATATATATATATATATATATATATATATGTATTTCAAAAGATACAAATTTAGCTTTTATGACTAACAAAAATGTACATATTTAAAAAAAAATCCTTAAGTAAATTGTTGTCGTTTTACTGATTAAACATAATTTTACAACTTACGTTTCTAAATTAGAAGAGACGCTATTTATTCAAAGTGTTGTATATTATTACGTGTTCTTAGATTCATGGATCTGGAGCAATAACTCTTGATGAACGAACTATTAGCGCGTCCCCAATTCACGATCCTTCGAAGTTGATCGTTGAAGCATTTTGGGCAAACATGAATCCTCTGCAAGGGGTGGTTCATTACCACTTGTATGAGAAGTGCGAGCCGTCGGTATTTTCAGAAAGCGACCAAACCCTGTCACCTGCTAAACAAAACGTTATGAACAGAGCCAGCAAAGATGTGATTACAATGAAATCCTGGGCAGATTTTGATGTTAACACTGTTCTGGTAGTTACCTGGGAAAACCAAGTTTCAGTAAATGATCAGGTACAGTATAAAATAAAGATGTAAACAGTTTTCAATTATACAAACGATGCCTTCATATAAAATTATGCAAGTTATAATGAATTATTGCAATGCAAAATATATTATTAGTTTTATCGAATTAATTTATCAGATTTTTTTTAAACTATGAAAATCGTTACACAATTGTATATTCTAATCTCAAAATTTACGAAACAGACAAACACTCCAAATACATTTCAAGCTATATTTATAAGTGGAAACCGGAAAGAATCAAGCAGTGACCAAGACTTTTCAGGTAAGTCGACAATGTTTGTAGGTTGTGTTGTCCGATATCAAAAGCTTAATTAAGGCAGATGAATCGAGATGGCCAGTGAACTATTTAAGATATGATAATCAACTCTCTCATGGAAATCACTACTGAGTAGCCTTTACCTATTTCCACAAGCATTGTGGGGAAAAAAATGCTAAGATTTTCTTTTTGCGCGTGTAGTGTGCGTGTACACTGTTAAATAGTATAATTTAAGTTTGTTCAATATTAAATATTAATATTAAATTGCTGGGCTTTTTCTGTAATTGTCTCTTGTAATTCAAATTTTGTTTAAAAATTTTAAAATGTGTACATTAATATCTCTAATAGGCTTGATTGAAAAGCAGGTAAATCGTTATTCTAAATGGTTGTTGCCAGAAAGCATATGTTTCAACCAAAATTGAAAATATTTTATAACTTTTGAGAAATAAGTACAAAATGACAAAGGATGTTATATTATTTAATATAAATAAACTGCTAGGCTATACCGCATTGACCACTATTGTGTATTTTATAAAAGAACAAAATTATTGAGATTTTCTTTGTTTAACTTCCCTGGCCACTTCAGTTG